TTTTTTTTTTTTGCAGCTTTTTTTGGGGGTGTGTGATTGACATACAATAAAATGCATAATGTACAATATAAGTTTCAACATACATGTGGTAGTCCCCCATTATCCATGAGACTTATGTTCCAGAATAGTGGCAAACCCTATATGCACCATGTTTTCCATACATATATATACCTTTGATAAAGTTGAGTTTATAAGTAAGGCATGGTAAGAGATTAATGACAATAACTAATAATAAAAGAGAACACTTACACTATAATAAAAATTAATATGAATATGGTCTCTCAAAATGTACTAACTTTTTGATGATGTGAGATGACAGAATAAACTACATAGTGAGATTTAAAGTGAATGAATGATGTAGGTATTGTGATATATGGCTAGGTGCTATTAGCTTTATGATGATACATCTAAAGGAGGATCATGTGCTTTCAGTGACAGTGTTGACGGTTGGATGTCAGAAGCAGATGATGTCGATGACCACTGGGCAGATAGCGTATCCAGCATGGATATACTAGACAAAGGGATGATTCATATCCTAGGTAGGATAGAGAGGAGCAATGAGAGATGTCAGCATGCCACTCAGAATGATACACAATTTAAAGCATATGAATGGTTTGTTTCTGGAATTTTCCATTTAATATTTTCAGTTATCTAACCATGAGTAACTGAAACTTTAGACAGAAAAACTGTAGTTAAGCAGGGACTACTTACTGTACTAATACACCTGTGAAATTATTACTAAAACAAATAATAAACACAGTTGTCACCCACATGTTTCCTCAGAACCCTTGGTAATCTGTCACCCTTCCAGTCCCTAAGTAATTAGTGATCTGCTTTCTGTAACTGTAGTTTGTATTCTATAGAATTTTATATAACAGATCATTCAGTATACCCTACTTTCTACTGACTTTATTGACTCAACATGATTATTTTGAGGTTCCTCTGTGTGTCAGTAGTTGGGTTTTTTTAAATTTCTGAGTAGTATTCCTTTGTATGAATTAACTTGTGTGTAGGTATTTAGGAGGTTTTCTAGTTTTTGACTTTTAGAAATAAGGCTGCTATAAACATTTGTGTACAGGTTTTTGTGTGGGCATACGCTTTTCTCTTGGGTAAATATCTGCGAGTGGAGTGGTTAGTGTAAGTTCACATTTGTTTTCCAAAGTGGTTGTACCATTTTGTATTTTGTAGTATTGTATGAGCCTTTCACTTGCTCTGTCTCCTCACCAACACTGCATGTGGTCAGTTCTTTTCATTTTAACTATTCGGGAGGGTGTGTAATAGCATCTCAGTGTGGTTTTAATTTGCATTTCTGTAATGACAAATGATGCTGAACATCTTTTAGTGTGCTGCTTTGCCACCTTTATACCTTCTTTGGTGAAGTATGTGTTCAAATCTTTTGCTTATTTTAAAATTTGTTTCATTAAGTTGTAAGATTTCTTTGTCAGGTACATGTTTTGCAGATATTTACTCTGAATATTTAACTTAATCTTTTCATTTTTGTTACAGTATCTTTTGAAGACTAACATTTCAATTTTGATAAAATCAATTTACTGAATTTTCCTTCTATTAGTTTCGGGGAGGGGGGGGCTTGGTATTATATTTAAGAAACCTTTCCCAAACCCTAGGTCACTAAGATTTTTAACGTATTTCTTCTAGGAGTTTTATAGTTTTGGCTTTTATATTTAGGCCTATAACCCATTGAAAGTTAATTTTTATATGTGGTTGAAGTAAGGATAAAGGATTTTTTTTTTTTGACTTATGGCCGTACAGTTGTTCCATCACCATTTGATGAAAGGTTTTCCTTTCCCCATTATGAATTGCTTTGGTACCTTGTCAAAATTTAATTGATCAATCATTTACAGTTAAAACTAGAAAGAGCTCTTATATAGATCTTGGTTTATATTTGTAAAGTTAGGAAGGACTAAATTGTGCGACTTTTCTTTGGAGATTGATGTAGAAGGATATGCCTCAGAAGAAACATGTACCTCTTTCTTTGTTAAAATGTTAGAAGTATTTTTGTAGGGACTTTTTTTTCCCCAAATGCAAACATTTTATAAAATTGAAACTCATGATGCAGTGGGCGCCTATAGTCCCAGCTACTTGGGAGGCTGAGGCAAGAGAATCACTTAAGCCCAAGAGTTTGAGGTTGCTGTGAACTGTGATGCCATGCTACTCTACCGAGGGTGACATAGTAAGATTCTGTGCCCCCCCAAAAAAAAAATTATACTTAAAATTTTTTAGTTTTGAAAGAATTTTTATGTTTCTCTTGCAATCAGCATTTCATTATTTAAGGTGAATTTCACTTTTAGCTTTACTGCAATTGGCCATAAAAGTGTTTATATTCGCTGGCAGTTTAGTTGCTGTGATTTTCAGAGTTTAATGATCAGAACAAACTGTATAACAGAGGATTATATAATAAGCCTTAATCTCTCTGACAGTTTTAACATTTGGAAGAATGAGGTTAATTGTGACCAACAGCAAATACCAGTGAAGCGTACATATAATTATATATTGAGTTCTACCAGTACCAGTAAGATGTGATTCCTTATGATAAATGACTGATTCATGTTTAGAATTTAGGTTGATTATGTATTTTTGTGTGTGTTTTGTTTTAGTTGGTTTTTTAGGTGCTATCATTATTAACATGTACTTGATATTTTGGTTTTCAGAAGAGGACCATCTGGACCAAGATTTGGACCTAGAAATGATAAAATTAAGCAGTAAGTTGTTCCTGAGATATTCATTTGTTTAAATGAGTATTATATTTTCTTCATGAACCAAAGATTGGCCGCAGCCTGATTTTGTAAATAAAGTTTTATTGGAACACAGCCATGCCCATTGTTTTCATATTATCTATAGTTGGTTTCAAGCTATAATAACAGAGTTGAGTAGTTGTGATGGAAAACTGTGACAAAGTTGTGATAGACTTTATGGCCCACAAAATCTGAAATATCTACTATCTTTCTGGTCCTTTACAGAAAAAATTTGTTGACCCCCTGATGTAGACTAAATGTAACTCCTGAGCTATAAAAACCTAATCCTTTTTATTTTCGCAGCGCTACCTCTGAAGTATAGCTAAGGAAATACAGGGTTATTGGTTTTTCTTAACTTGATCATCTTTTGTCACATTTACTTATAATAAATATAGTAATAATATGATACTCTAGGGGTCTATTTTATTTTTAAATCTATAGCTTGATTCCCATTTTTGGAATGGAATAAAAGTAATATAATCAATTTAATTTGTTGATATATAACATCTTTTTTGTCTTCTTCCAGAATATTTTCATATCTGTTAACTTAGTCAAATACATATATCGATCTAAGTTTTGTGGCTAATTTTTAATTTAAGCCCTTTGCTGTATATGTTATTTGTTGATAGATGATGAATAATTTTATGTAGTGAATATATCTAACATAGGAAAGATGTGAGTCCTGACAGGAAAGGAGAAGGAATGGGCAAAGCAGTGAATCACTTGAGGGAAGACCCTGGAAACTGACCAAGCTATAAAGACTAACTAGGAAAAGAAAACTGAATGGCCCACAAGCAGAATCTAAGCAAGATAATAATCACTGTGCTAATCCTGGGTATAGTTGACACATGGTGGAAAGGGATACTATAATAGACTGTCTTGTTATTAGAGAGATGCTTGGGCTTTAGTCAGGTGCCTGTTGGTGTGAAGAAATAAGTCCACACTTAGTCTAATTCTAACTGAGATTTGGAGATACAGAACAAAAACAAAGTTCCAGCAAATCGATGAGAGTCATAGGTGGAGTATATTAACTTTCTATTGCTATCTAACAAATTACCATGAACTTAACAGCTTAAAACATTAATTTATCATTACAAAGTTTCCTTGGGTTAAGAGTTCAGGTGCTGCTTAGGTGGGTCCTCTGCTAAGAGTCTCACATGCCTACAATCAACTGGTTACCAGGTGTGCAGTCTCTCTTGAGGCTCATGACCGGGGTGTGATTGTTGACAGAATTCATTTCCTTGTAGCTGTGGAGCTCATGATGCTTACGTTTTCAAGACCAGCACAAGAGAGAATCTCTACTGCTTTACTGATTTGGCTAATAAAGATACAATGAACCACTTTTATCTTTTGGGGGGGGGACAACACAATGCTGAGAACAGGCTACTTTTAGATACAGCTTTTTACTTATATAAGAAAAAGAAGCAGCCTGTAGTTCCAAATCTTTGGGAGACTGAGGCAAAAGAATCACTTAAGCCCAAGAGTTTGAAGTTGCTGTGAGCTGTGACGCCATGACATTCTACTGAGGGTGACATAGTGAGACTCTGTCTAAAAAAATAAATAAATAAAAGGAAAAAAAGGAAGCAGTAATCATAATAAATCATCATAATAAAATGATGATACCAAAACAAATAGGGCCAGTGGCTGCAGTATGAGTTGTGTGATACCCTATTGCAAAGGAGCCATTTCTAGACTATGGTTTTTATAGGTTGCAGATAGTATATAGCCTATAGGAAGTTTTATACTTCATCAGAACCTGAGAGGTAATAGGCAATCTTATGATAGTCTCCTAAGGGAGACAAGGATTTGAGAAGGCCTCACAAGCCACTTGTTCTCTTGTGTTCCAGGGGGATCATAAGGCCTTCTGCCAAGACTCAGGTTAGCTGTGGTTCAAGCCTATGTGGCATATGTGGATGCTTGCAAGGGTGCCAGTGAATAGTGGCTGAGCCATTCTCCTACATTGAGCCAGAGCGGCTTCTGTATCCACTTACACAGTCTTGGTCTCTTATACTTGTGCCACTGGAAAAGAGGACTCCACTGATGACATACCTCTTTTTATGTTAGTAAGTGCCAGACACACAGACACAAATGGATATGTTAGTGTGTTACTACACTACCCCAATAACTTTGGCATTCATAGAATTTTAGAATTGTAAGGGATTAAATATAGTGGTTCTTAGAACTAAAGGCTTATCAGATTTAGTTAGAAGAAGATCAGTCAGCAAACACACAGTGTAAACCTTGATACCCCAACCTCATGAATGCTTATCTATCTAACACATGACTTATCAGTGTGCTTAAGATGGCAGAACACAGCTTATCACACAACCTGCCCAGGGACAAATCCCTACCTTTAATTTAGTGCCCCAAACTGGTAGCACTGGTCATTTTCTTTAGTTAAGATATGTTATCACCACTTGATTTAAAACATTTCAGGGTGACACCTGTGACTAGTGGGTAGGGCACTAGCCCCATATACCAAGGGTGGCAGGTTCAAACCCAGCCCTGGCCAGCTAAAACAGCAGTGACAGCTGCAACAAAAAATAGCCGGGCATTGTGGCAGGTGCTTGTAGGCCCAGCTACTTGGAAGGCTGAGGCAAGAGAATTGCCTAAGCCTAAGAGTTGGAGGTTGCTGTAAGCTGTGGCGCCATAGCACTCTACCGAGGGCAACAAAGTAAAACTCTGTCTCAAATAAATAAATAAAACATTTTAATATAGAGTATTTCTTGATTGCTTAGATCAGCATTTTTTATTTTTTGAATTTAGTTAAGTATTATTATTAATAGATTAATCCCATTAAAAAAATATCCAACATCACTTTTTAGGGAAGTTTTTTGGAGAAAGGTTTTAAATATTCACATACCTACACAAAAATTATGATTTTTCTTTGGAATGCATCCTTTCCATTTAAATTAAAAATAGCATTGTAAATGCCACGCTAATGAATTGTAGACATTCTGTGTCAGGAATAGGGAATCTCCTACCTTTAGCCTTAGTCCAACCAGCTTAACTTGATATGGCCCCCAGGGAATATTCCATGATATAACAGCAATATATATGTTGTTGCAAAAATACAACATAATTGTTAAAACTTACTATTTTTTCAACAGTACCTTAAAAGGCCACAAGATGGGGATGTTAACTATGAAAACATATACTTTCTTTATAAAATAAGGGGTGTGTGTTGCAGAGCATAAATTTTTCTTGTAGTGGAAGAGTCGTGATATTTATCTAGCACTTGCTAAGCTTTAGAAAAGGTGCCAAGGATTTGAAAAACATTATCCCTTAATTCTAACAAATGAAATAGAGATTATCTGTATATCTCAAAAAAGCTAGCATAGTTCTGGGCATGGTGGTTGATGCCTATAATCCTAGCACTCTGGTAGGCCAAGCAGGTAGATTGCTTGAATTCAGGAGTTCAAGACCAGCCTAAGCAAGAGCAAGACCCCATATCTATAAAATAGCTGGGCATTGTGGCGGGTACCTGTAATCCCAGCAACTTGGGAGGCTAGTGCAAGAGGATCACTTGAGCCCGAGAGTTTGAGGTTACTGTGAGCTACGACACCACAGCACTCTACCGAGGGTGACAAAATAAAACTCTGTCTTAAACAAAAAAGCTAGCATAGTAACTTCCCAAATCACATAAATAGTAAGTGATAAAACTGGATTGCAGACCCAAATCTTTCTGAATATAAAACCCAAGACTTATTTTTTTTTGAGACAGAGTCTTATTGTGTTGCCCTCAGTAGAATGCCATGGCATCATACCTCACAGCAACCTCATACTCTTGGACTTAAGTAATTCTGTTGCCTCAGCCTCCCAAGTAGCTGGGACTACAAGTGCCTGCCACAATGCCTGGCTATTTTTGTTGTTGTTGTTGTTGTAGTTGTCATTGTTGTTTAGCAGGCCTGGGCTGGGTTTGAACCTGCCAACCCCAGTGTATGTGGCCAACAACCTAGTTGCTGATCCGAAACCAGGATTTCTACATTACAGCATGCAGCTTCCCTGTTAGGGATTAGAATAGAGACATATCTGTTACATATAGGTGCTATCAGTCTCTATAAGAGAATTTAAAACAGTATTGAGAATATATTTCCCTGGGCAGTGCCTGTGGCTCAGTGGGTAGGGTGCCAGCCACATATACTGAGGGTGGTGGGTTCGAACTTGGCCCTGGCCAAACTGCAACAAAAAATAGCCGGGCATTGTGGTGGGTGCCTGTAGTCCCAGTTGCTTGGGAGGCTGAGGCAAGAGAATTGCCTAAAGCCCAAGAGTTGAAGGTTGCTGTGACCTGTGAGCCATGATGCCACGATACTCTACCGAGGGCAATAAAGTGAGACTCTCTTAAAAAAAAAAAAAAAAAGAATATTTCCCTGACCCTATGTCTCTATCTTTTCCTGATTATGTTGTCTTTTGTGCCCTTTCTTTTACCAATTGAGCCTTCTTCACAAACTTGCTTTTCCTTTGAGTTGTTAATTTTCTATTTCACTAAATGGCTGTCATCTACTCTTACTTGCTCAAATTATAAATCTAGGAATCCTGTACACTTTTCACTCCCCAGTACCTTCACCCACATCTAGGTAATCACTTACTTCTTTTTTTTTTTTTGAGACAGAGTCTCACTATGTCACCCTGGGTAGAGTGCCATGGCATCACAGCTCGCAGCAACCTCAAGGTCTTGAACTTAAGCGATTCTCTTGCCTCAGCCTCCCAAGTAGCTGGGACTGCTACAGTGCCTGGCTATTTTTTGGTTATAGTTGTCATTGTTGTTTGGCAGGCCCAGACTAAATTTGAACCCACCTGCTCCAGTGTGTGTGGCTGGCACCCTAGCCGCTGAGCTACAGGTGCCAAGCCATCACTTACTTCTAAAAATGCTCCCTTCTCTTACATATACTTCCTTGGCCTAGAACTTAGCTGCCATCTACCTCCTCCTTTCCTCTTTCCCACTCTTGACCCCTCAGAACTCAGCATCAGGGTCTGGATGGCATTTCTGGTCAAGGCTGAATTCATTTAGGCTATGTGGCTGATACCATTTCCCTTCTGTTAATAGCACTTAATACAGGGCAGTCATGGATATCATTTTTCACCACTATAATATTTCTAAATATCAGCTCATAACCTTTACATTGATATTCTTGATGAATTGTGTAATAATAACTTAATAAATGCTTTTGGAATGTATATTTAGTTGTTGAATGCTTACTTTGTACCAGGCGCATTTCATATGACCTAGAAATAAAAAGATGAGTGAGACAGTCTGATTTTAAGGCATTTATGGTGTATATAATAATGGGGATAAGGGGTGGCACCTGTGGCTCAAAGGAGTAGGGCACCGGCCCCATATGCCGGAGGTGGCAGGTTCAAAACCCAGCCCCAGCCAAATACTGCAAATAATAATAATAATAATAATAATGGGGATAAAACCAATGTGAAATACAAGTAGAAATCAGGAGGTTTGTAACTACAGCAGTCCCCAAGTTACAAACATCTGACTGATATAGGACTTGTACTTATGAACAGAGGCTATTACAAGAAAAAAGTAAATGTATTTGTTCAAACTTACTTACATAGAATTCAGTTTAAGAACAAACGTACAGGCTCGGCGACTATAGCTCAACCGGCTAAGGCGCCAGCCACGTACACCTAGGGTGGCGGGTTCGAATCCCCAGCCCGGGCCCGCCAAACAACAATGATGGCTGCAACCAAAAAATAGCTGGGCGTTGTGGCGGGCGCCTGTAGTCCCAGCTACTTGGGAGGCTGAGGCAGGAGACTCGCTTGAGCCCAGGAGTTGGAGGTTGCTGTGAGCTGTAATGCCACAGCACTCTACCCAGGGGGACAGCTTGAGGCTCTGTCTCAAAAAAAAAAAAAAAAAAAAAAAGAACAAACCTACAGGGGCAGTGCCTGTGGCTCAGTGGGTAGGGCTCTGGCCCCATATACCAAGGGTGGTGGGTTCAAACCTGGCCCCAACCAAACTGCAACCAAAAATAGCTGGGCATTGTGGTGGGTGCCTGTAGTCCCAGTTACTGGGGAGGCTGAGGCAAGAGAATCGCCTAAGTGTGGGAGTTGGATTTTGCTGTGAGCTCTGAAGCCACAGCACTCAATTGAGGGTGATAAAGTGAGACTCTGTCTCAAAAAAAAAGAACAAACCTACAGAACCTATCTCCTCATAACTTAAGGAGTACCTGTACTATGAAAATGTAAAAGATTAAGGGGAAATATATTATCTCTTGTTTTACAAATAAAATTATTGCAGTAAATAGATAATTTCTTTTCTTTTTTTTTAGAGACAGAGTCTCATTTTGTCACCCTCGATAGAGTGCTATGGTGTCATAGCCCACAGCAACCTCCAGCTCTTGGGCTTAGGCGATTCTCTTGCCTCAACCTCCCAAGTAGCTGGGACTACAGGCATCTGCCACAGCGCCCAGCTATTTTTGTTGTTGTCGTTGCAGTTTGGCTGGGACTGGGTTTGAACCCGCGACCCTCGGTATATGGGGCTGGCACTCTACTCACTGAGCCACAGGTGCTTTATTCTATAAAAGTTTTGCTTTATATGAATGTGGAAAGAACATGCTTTATAATGAACGTGCATTTCTTACAATGCAGAAACATAACCATGAGATTTTCTATCAGTGAATGAGCTGCACTGAGAGTGTCAAGCCAGCACATGGTAATGTGTGAAGGAGAAAGCAACAGTAATTTACTAATCCCTTAGTAGGAACTTTAAAATGTTGAGGTGCTCATATTAGCAACAGGAATTTATTACATAAGTACCATGTTGTTGAGGTTACACCTGTAGGTTTATGATAGTCTAGTAAGAATCTGGAATTTCATGGGTTCTGTTCCATTTAATCAGCCCATATTGATGGAGTCTTTTGCTTATAGAGATCCTGAGCCTATAACTATTTCTTCAGATTTTTGTTTTCATTTTAAAAGTACATATAGTATATTAGTATTCATAGTAGTTATGCCTCTGTTTTATAGTTATGGCGGGGGGCTCTCTACTCAGTGCATTATATCTCTTTCTCAAATAGCTGAGTGTTCTCTGCAGGCTTTACACCCAAATTGTTCATTTATTCAGCAGATATATATTGAATGCCCATTCTGCCCTAAGCACCATTGTAGGTACTGGGGCTACAAAAGTGAACAAAATAGACAAGGTTATTTTCTAGTAGAGAGATGCTAAAAATAAGCATGTAAGTAAATAGAAAGTACAATGTTTACTGGGATTGAGCGAGCAAGATGTTTCATAGCTCTAAGGTTAAGGTACATTCAAACATAAATTCCATGAGGGCTGGAATTATTGTCTGTTTTGTTCATTGTTGTTTGCCCAACACCAAAAGCAGTATGTATCAGGTGCTTATTAATTATTTGTTGGAAAAAAAAACACATATGGGCAGCGCCTGTGGCTCAGTGAGTAGGGTGCTGACCCCATATACCAGAGGTGGTAGGTTCAAATCCGGCCCTGGCCAAAAACTGCAAAAAAAAAAAAAAAAAAAAAATTATTTGTTGGATCAATTGATTAGTTGCATAAGTATTTCTGGTATTTTTCTTACATAGGATGAAAATCTTTAGCTCTCAGCGTAGGTGATTAGAAATTGCAAAAGGACGTCTTAGGAATTGAAGCATACTTTCAGATCTGAGCAGAAGAGAACTCTGCATGTCCCCCATGTCCCAGCATTGTTCTATCCTTTAGTGAAATAATGTAGAGGAAGCACAGAACTCTGGGATGTTGTGAGTAACCCTCAAGTCTATGTGTGAATAATCAGTGGGTCTACATGATGTTTTTAATATGGTAGGGAAGTGACTATTATATAACATAGCCTAAGTAAATGTGAGAGGACTTCTTCTGACTTCACCCATGTCTAAATGGGCTTTCGTTTTTCTTTTTCTTTTTTTTTTTTTTTTTTTTTTTGAGACAGTCTCAAGCTGTCACCCTGGGTAGAGTACTATGGCATCACAGCTCACAACAACCTCCAACTCTTGGGCTTATGCTACTCTCTTGCCTCAGCCTCCCAAGTAGCTGGGACTACAGGCGCCCCCTACAACACCCAGCTATTTTCTGGTTGTAGTTGTCATTGTTGTCTGGTGGCCCCAGGCTGGATTTGAACCCGCCGGCTCTGGTGTATGTGGCTGGCGCCTTAGCCGCTTGAGCTACAGGTGCTGAGCCAGGCCTTCATTTTTTTTAATAAGCTTTCTCAGATTGAATTCAATCTGAACAAACTTTCTGAAGAAATAGCTTAGTGAAAGGGCAAGGGTAGAACTCTTTTCAGAATTACACATGACCATGCCTCACCCCTAGCCAATGGGGTAGTTCAGAGAATAATGTGGAGTAGAGGGCAGAATAGAGATGTGTATGGTGTTAATTTTTTATAAGCCCCTTGGGGACAAACTGACACGCATCTTTCCCCTACTAAATGTATATTTAAAGCATATTTAAACATATATTTAATATTTGTATGCCGTCAGACCTCACTTAATAGCAGGGACATGCCCATCTTTTGGCATCTTGTGCACACATCACGGAGTGCACTTACAGAAACCTAGATGGCAATTTACACACCCAGGCTCTATGTACAGCCTCTTGCTTCCCAGCTACACATCTATACAGAATGTCATCGTATTGAATATGTAGGCAGTTGTAATGCAGTGGTATTTGTGTATCTAAATATAAAAAAGGCACAGTAGGAATTTGATATTATAATCTGTGGGACTGTCGTCGTAAGTGCTGCCCATTGTTAACCACACTCATTATGCAGCACGTGACTGTAGCTGCTGGGAGCCCAGGGCTTTAAACATGGACCAGGAGTTCACTCTATTTGTCCTTTTAAATATTTGATTGTGACTTATGAAGTAATTTAAAACAATGTCTTGTGGTTAGAGCAACAGTGGAAAACTAAACAATTAAGCAATTTTGTGTCATGTACTCTAGAGGTAACTCATGAGTGAGGGTAGGTAGCTAAGGACTAATTATTAACTTTTAAAGTTTAAGCTAAATCTTCATTGAACAGTCTGAAAATTGGTAAAAACAGACCCCATCACCTAATGTAAGGAGTTCAACATATTTTCATTTCAAATTATAGCAAAAGGGTTTTTTTTTCTCCTTTCTGCTTCCTGATGGATACTTCAAAACATTCCCAAGTGTTTCCAGTTGTCTTAAGCCTTATTTATGTTTACCAGAAAAGTGATGAACAGTAAACAAACCTGTCCATTGAGCGTAAGTGCCTCCTAGAGGACGCCTTACATTTTTGTTTTGGAAACTAGATATTTTCATAAGCTTCTAACGTACCTGTGCAAACTCCTCTGTTTAGCCTTTGTGTATGAAATACACAGGAAAAGTAGGTTACAGCTGTGTCCATGTGCTAACAGCCTGTTGAAAAGAAAACAAATCAAATTATTTGAGTCCAGTTGTTTGACTAACTTCTACAGTTACTGAGCATTCTGACAATACATTTAGTTTGCTTATGGGTCACATTACTAGGGCTAAAAGTAAACGTCTTTAAGTGAAATATTACTTCAATTATTTGTGTACTCAACCCACAAATGGAAGAACATTGCTACAAAGCCTTAAATTTTATAGTTAGGTAATTCTCTAAGAATTTGCTGTTTTCTATCATGTCTAATGAAAGTTTTGAAAATTATAAACATTCTCAGAAAAATAATCTTTTATCTTTTTTTTTAAACTAGTGTTCAGAATCAGGTGGATGAAGTTATTGATGTTATGCAAGAAAATATTACAAAGGTAATTGAGAGAGGGGAGAGACTAGATGAACTTCAGGACAAATCAGGTACAGACACTTCCTGTATTCTTGATGTTACTCACCTGTCTCGCTAGCTTTTATCTTCTCTCACTTGTCTGGCCAGTGCTTAGAAACCTTGGCTTAGAAGATTGGCATTTATTTGTTAAGTTTATGAATGGAATGGTTTAATTTTAGCTTCCTTTACTATGAATTTAAGGGTTAAATTTTAACTTCCTTTACTATGAATCATCTCGTGTTACATTTCTTTAATTGTTCAGTTGAGAATGGAGAATTTGGCTCGGCGCCTGTGGCTCAAGCGGCTAAGGCGCCAGCCA